TGCACATGAATGTCTTGGCATTAGCATAAAAAGCTTGAAATTCAGAATACATGCATAATTTCCTACCTAAACCCAATGCTTAAAGACCAATCAGCTGTTCTATCACTGAAATATAATATATACAAAATTCGCAATAACTCATCAAATTATTAAATCAAAAGTACCAAAAATCAATTAGCAGTCAATCACTAAACCCCTAATCTTTATACTCTAGAAAAATCAATTGCCAACAAAAATAAATCAATACTAGATCTTCTATGGATCTTCACCCACCAAAAAGAATTGAAAAATTAAATTAAAAACAGAAGCAAAATTCAATAATTCTCAATTAAATTCCAAATCTAAAGAACACCCAATTCAAAACAATTATAACCCATCTATCAAAACTTGAACCCATACAAAAAAAACCAAAAACCCAGAAATAATGAAATCTCAAATCCCTAAAACATACCCTAAAATTGCAACCAAAGAACAACCCAGAAAAGAAATTAGATAATAAACCCACAAATCATCAAATCAAATATTATTAATTTATTATAAACATAACATAATTAAAATACAATAAAATAAACCAAGTATGAATAATTTAGAAGATGTAAGAAAACGAGTAAACGACATCACCTTTTAATTAATTAAATTTTAAGACAGAAGAGCAATCTGGAAAACTCTCGTTCTCCTTCAACCTGAATATCTTTCCCAAATATCAGATACTATAACTAATTAATGGGGAAATTTTTTCTTTTTTTAAGAAAATTAATTAATTAATTGAATTTCTACATAAAAAAAACCGACTTTATTGGGTTGTGGGGAAAAGAGAAACTAAATGGGCCTTAAAAATTGGGGAAAATAAAAATGAACGCAAAGACTCGGATGAGTCAACTCAACTCGAAAAGTAATTTGTCCCCAGAAATAGATAAATGGGGTTGCAGCATTAAATTGATTTGATAAGTGAATATCAAGGTTAATTAGATTTGAGAAATTAAATTTGGATTTGGCAAAGCAGATTTTGTGCAGAGAGGATGAGTTGTGAGGGGGGAGAGAGCAACAGAGAAAAAGACGGGTTTGTGATGCAACGGTGGATCTCCGATTTTTATAAAATTTTATTTATGGAGTAGTAATTAGAGGTGTCATAATCGAATCGATTTGGAAAAAAATCATTCATTTTGATAATCGATCCGATTTGATCTGAGAAAATCAGGATCCAAACCCAATCTGTAACCGACCTGAACTCAATCCGAATCTAAATTTGACCCAATCTAAACTTAAATCGGCATCGATTTGATCCGACCTGAACTCAACCCGAAACCGATTTGATTCGAGTTGAACTCAAACCGAACCGAATTGACCTGACCTAAACTTAACCTTATCCGAAATTGACCTAACAAATAACCGATTCAATCCGATCTATTTTGACCCGACTGATATTAACCTTACCCGATTTTAACCCGGCTTTGATTTTAAACCCAACCTATTATTGAACTTTTTTTTTTTAACTTAAACGTAATTATTTTGATCCATCTATATACAAGTTTTTTATTTATTTTATTCAAGTTCATATACTACTATATTTAATAATTATTAATAAGTTTACCTTTTATCCCGTCAAAAAAAAAAAAAGTTTACCTTTTATAAATAAATAGGAAGTCCTACAGAGTAACATGTTTACTTCAAATATGAAGTTTAGAAAATTACATTAGCTTTATATACCTCTCATCGAAAATTTTGTAAACACAATTATAAAAATCTCAACATTAAAACTCTTTTTACAACAATAAGTATTGACTCAAATCTTTTTCAAATTTAATTATAGTTACTTGGCTCAATGATAAAAAAATAAAAATTAAAAAAAAATTACATAAGAACATTCAATGAGAATACTAATACATTGTATTTTGTAATTAGAGTAAACTAAACTTTGTACTCAACTTGTTTTACCTGTTGTAGCAGGTTATGGGGAAGCATGGAATAGCCATTTTTTTTTTTCATACCTTGAAGTCTGAGATAAATTACATTAAAAATGTACAATTTTAAGACTAAGCAATTAGAGTGAACTAAACTTTGTACTCAACTTGTTTTACCTGTTGTACCAGATTATGGGGAAACATTGATAGCCATTTTTTTCATATCTTGAAGTCTGAGATAAATTACAATAAAAATGTACAATTTTAAGACTAAGCAATTGTCATTTAAATTATCTAGCCATTACAACTAAATGAGTAAAGCGTTGAACATCCCCTTAACTAAATTAACTTCAAAGAACCATTAGAAGCACATTTAGATATCTGACATTTTTTTTTTAAGGATGAAGTATGAACTTATGTAATCTCTTCAAATTTAGGATTTAATTTGCTAGCTTGTACTTGTAGATGGGTATGAATAGATTAATTGGGCAGTCAACTTCAAAGAACCGTTAACATCACCTTTAATATAATGCCGGATTGTTTTTTTTTTTTTTTGGCTAAAACCGGTTATAACGAGTTAGAACAGGTTAAGTGGCCAAAATATTCTCTCCAGCAAATACTATCTCATAGTTTAATACCCAATTTGCAACTTTTGATAGTTGAGTACCCAATCTGCAACAACTAAGATAGTTTAGTACCTAGTTTTATGGTTCACTCTTGTAATTATTAGTCACATAATATGAAAAATGTAACATGAATTACTTGATATTGACCAAATGATGAGGTAAAACTCAATAAGTACTCTAGTTTTAAATGGCTTTATTTGAATATTGAATTTAGTCAACCCGACCAAAATTAGCCAAACACAAAAGGATTTTATTTGGAATTGATCTAATATTGAATCAACCATATCTTAATTAAATTGTACTTGGCCGAACTGCAAAATCAACTGAAACGAAATCAGCCCGACTCGAAATTAACCCGGTCAAACCCTCTTTTAATCCGATCCAAATTTATCTGAACTGATTATGAATCGATTTGAAGATGACTCGACCTAAACTCGACATATCTTGACCCGAAAGTGACCTGACCCGAAAGTGACCCGACCTGACCCAATCCAAGTGAAAAGGGTAATTTTGACCCGACCCGTCATGGGTCAACACAAACTCCATACGGTTATCTGAATTAACACCTCTAATACTAACATTACAGTATTGAGTGTAAATAAATTGCTTCATCTATCTCGTAAAGATTGTTTCATCGTATTAAAAATATATATTAGAACTTTAATTATGAATTCTCATTAGTTAATGGAAAATAATACAATCACATGTGATCTTATTGTAATTATTATTAAAAGTTTAAGTTAATGTTTTGAAGATTATTCTCATTAGTTAATTATGAAAAGTGATGGAGAAATCTTAGAAGCCGAACGAAGTGTTAATAAATTTACGTAATAGAGATTTCATAGTTGTAGTCTTCACATACGAAATATTGTTTTATTGACTTTCACAGTACCTTCTTTGTTTTTTATTACTCCGTATTCGGTTTCAATTATCCTTACAACATTTTGAGTTTTACATTATTCGTACTCTTTTTTTGGTTTTATGAAAAGATTTGTACTCTATATTTTTTGACAAGAACCCAGGGGAAATTATATTAAAACTTTGTCTGCAAAAACAGACACCAAAACTTTTTCATACTCTATATTAAATACTCTAACAATGATTATTTATATAAAAGAAAAAATATTAGAGGAATTAAATGAAATAGTTATACTAGTATTTTTTTTGTATTTATTTTTATTCTTTGTCTGTTAATTTTCAGTCTTTCTGCAAACCCTCAAAACACACAAATAGTCTTTGAAAAATTGGGGGGAAGCAGTTGCTATCAGGATCAGGTACCAAGTCCAATTCAGTTCTAGGGCTAGATAATCTCAAAGCTTCTAAGTATCTTCCTAGTTTACCATAATGGTCTTTCATAGACCAATGCAAAAGTCTGTGAGCATAATATTTGAATTTGTAAGTAAAGTCCTTTTTCACATTCATCCTGTATGCTCTCCTCACAGTCTCTATTATTTCTTTAGCTGCCAGTGTGGTTGGGCCTTAAAAACTTCTACGAATTGCTCAACCAACCAAGTGCTCTTTAGTTTTTCATTTCTCTCCATATCTCTGTTGCAATTGTGCTCAAAATCGGGTACCCGAACTGTTATGGTTATCGAAACGGGTACCCTAATTTTCAGTTAGGTTATGGTTCGGATTTTCGGGTTTTCGATTTTTCAGATAATTTTGCTCAGCCCTAATACAAAAGTACATGCCACTTTACGGGTTATTGTCAATAAACTTGCTCAATCACTTAATGGGTTGAGTCAGGGGCGGGGAGCGTACTGTTAATTCTTATGGTACGTTTAGTTCACTTTATTTTAACGTAACCTCTAGTATGTTTAGATAAGTTCAGACAATATCATATAAGTTCACATAAGTGAAATCAATTGAATATAACATACTCTTAAAGAGTTAATTGATTAAAATAGTTTTACGAAAAAGTCGCATGTCAATGTTTATGGTAATGTTATTGATCCTCGTTTATATTTTTATTTTATCAACTTTAATTACCATATAATCACATACATGAAAATAAACACATACTTCTTATAAGAATGGAGTGTTTTCCCCATGGACATTTACAATTAAACTTTTCATAAAAAAAAACCTCATATAAATTCATTATCGTTATTATATTTTATTAACACCTACATACATGTGATGATGAAAAAGATAGAGAAAATTGACAACTTAAAAAGGTTAGAAAACATATGTTGCACATAATGTATAACAACCATTTTTAGTAAATGTTGCACATTACATTAAAATTAAACTTGGGCAAGTCGGGTCGAGACTTGTCATTATTGCTCCAATCCTTTTATTTTTGTTACAAATTTATATCCATTTTCTCTGTACTTGTTAGATAAATTGGTACTCTGTATTAAGCTGGGACCTACCATGTTGCGAGAAATTATAAAATAATGTAGAAAATTATCATAAATGAAAATTATGCAAATAAAAAAACGGACAAAAAAAAAGTGATGCATAAAAAAAAAAAAAAAAAAAAAAAAAAAAAAAAAAAAAAGGGAAGTATGTAATTCTTTGACTTTTTATGTCCATCATGACCAACTATAGAAACAAAAAAAAAATTACTAGGCCACTGTACGAAGACTAGACCTGATCAAAGTTAGCCCAGCTTATTGGATTTTAGACGGATCTGACCCATTTTATAACTGGGATGGGTCACGGGTTAAAATGGGTCTCCAACCCATTGAATTGCTGTCAATGTTCTCTTTCTCAATTCTCCATTGAAGCGCACTTGACAATCTCCATACTTGTATCCCCCATTGAAGCAGCTTTCTGAGGTAAGTTGTTTCCTTGGGTAATCAATCAATCATATCAATTTCACAGTATAGGGTTTATCTTTGAGGTTTTCTAATTTAATTGTCAGTGCAGTAAGTTTAGGTTCTAAAATCTGAACTATTGGTTCTACTTACTAAGATTATGAAACATCACTACCATCGATTATGTTGCTAGAAAAGAAATTTATGACCCTAATTTGATAATTAAATCAAATATCCCTGAAATTATTTATGTGATTTTTCGAGCCTTATTTGATAATTGAATCCAATTTGGTTGCTAATGTATTGCAGAACCCTTTAATGTTAGGATTGAACTATGATTTTTTTGTTAATTGAATCAAATTTGGTTGCTAATGTATTGCATAACCCTTTAATTTTAGGATTCAATCATGAATTATTTGGTAATTGAATCAAATTTGGTTGCTAATGTATTGCAGAACCCTTTAATGTTAGGATTGAACTATGAAATTAGACCTTTTCTCCCTCCTGCCCTGGATCAGAGACGAACACGGAGCTTTATACCCTCGATTACAATGGATAGAATTGGTAGAGGTGGGTATGGTTTTGTAATTTCATCGGGGAAATGTAAGAGGAAGTCCCTCTCTATTTGTTGCTCAGCTCCTAAGCTGGTACGAGATCGTTCATTAGATAGGCATGTGATTAAGCAAAATCGAATTCGGTTTGTGCAGAAGCTTAGGAATTTGCTTCTTTCGAAGCCTAAACACTACATGTCTATCCACGTTCTTTCCAAATGCCGTTCCTACTTATCTCTATCAAAGCCTCGGTGTATTCTCTCTATGATCGAACGTTATCCTACCCTGTTTGAGCTTTTCTATGTGCCATATCCGCCTACTCCCCTTAATGCAACGAAAACAAACTCCCAACTATGTGTGCGTTTAACCCCAGCTGCTGAATCGCTTTCTCTGCGAGAAGCCCATCTTAAGTCTACTGCTTCTGTGGTGATGGCCAACAAGCTTCAAAAGCTTCTCATGCTTTCTCCTCATAGGAGGCTTGTTATGTCAAAGCTTGCACATTTGGGGCCTGATCTTGGTCTGCCACCCAATTTTAGGTCCCGTCTTTGCAATGAGAATCCTGGAAAATTCAAGATTGTTACTACATCCTATGGTAATGCTCTCGAACTTGTTTCTTGGGACCCAAACTTAGCGGAACCGTTGCCAAAGTTTAGAAATCACTCACCTGAGCTAATTGTGGATAGGCCTTTGAAATTTAAGCTAGTAAAATTAAGAAAGGGCTTAACTGTGAAGAGACGCCATCATGATTTTTTGATTAGATTCGGAGAATTGCCTGATATATGTCCCTATAAGACTTCATTTAAAGAATTTCATAAAAGCTCTTTGGAAGCAGAAAAGAGGGCTTGCAGTGTAGTGAGGGAAATTTTGGGGATGACTGTTGAAAAGAGGACATTGATAGACCATTTAACACATTTCAGAAAGGATTTTGGGCTACCCAACAAGTTAAGGGCTATGTTGGTTCGGCATCCAGAACTGTTTTATGTAAGTTTGAAGGGCCAGAGGGACACCGTGTTCTTGGTTGAGGCATATGATGATAATGGTGAACTCGTCCAAAAGGATGAAGGTCTCCTTATCAAAAATCATTTGTTTGAGCTGGTCAGGCATGGCAAGAGAATAAGGCGAGAAATGAAATTGGCCTTAGCTAATGGTGACACTCTCATTAAAGATCATCCTATCGCTGTTGATCAGGAGCTAGAACCTTTTGATGATGTTACTGAAGATGATGGATTTGAAGAACTGTTTGACGGGAATGATTCAGAATTTGAAATTTACGAGGAAGACAGTGATGAGGAGTATGGTCAACCAGTGGACGACAATGCAGAGCAGCAATTCTGGAGCTCCCATGGCTCTATAAGGGGTCATAGGGAAGACAGTGATACTTCTGAGCGCTGGTAGACATGGTAGTAATGAATATTGACACTGTAAAAAGCTTTTACTTAGGTTCTGTCTGGAAAGCAATGGAGCGAAAAATATGATGGAATGTAAGTTTAAGTTTCTGCTGCTGTCATGTTTCAATTTTCTTATAATTTCCTGTATATAGTGTATTTATTGTTTGTTCTAGTCTGGTAATTCAGGTAAATTTTTATTTTCCTATTGTTATTTTTGTTTTTCCCTTTTCTCATTTTGGGAATGTGGATGGCGAATGTGGTAAATGTTGTACTTGGCACACCTGCAACCCCAGAGATTAGAGTTTGGATTCTAATGAGGTTCACCATGCTCCCATTCATAGTCATAGAGCTGGCTTATTTCTTGTTGTGTTTTTCTAGTTATAATTCTTCTGTCAGAACCTAGGGTAAACACATGCTGCCTGCTTGCCTGCCTGCCTGTGTATGATCTCTTCTTGCACTTTCCTTTTTATCTTGCAAGGGGCTGAAGAATGAACTCCAAAGGCTTATCTCTTTAGAATAATTGGCTGTTTATGCAAGGAGTTTGTTCCACATACTTACTCTTTTTGGTACGTCTTTTTCTCTTTTCATTTACAGAACATAATACCTTACTTTGTGGTAGCATCTTTGTGGGTGCCGTCTTTTGTTATCTTGCATGGTCAAGGGATTTGAATATTTTACTTTTCTTGTTTCTAGCTATAATACTTTCTATATGCTGTAATTCAGAAGTTCTGATTCTAAATTCTGTAATATAGGGCTTTGTTTGTCATATTGCTAAATAAAATGGCTTTCTTCATGAACTATTAATTATGTTTTAATATCACTAGGGTCTAGGGTGTTTATAATAGTAGCCGATCCAATTCTTTTCATATACTGGTACTGTAGCATTTGTACTTTCATAGATAATGACATTGAGACAATCACATTGGTATTGTGATGCACATAACTGAATTGGAACTCTACTAAGCAATATCGTACGAACAGATCTATTATTGGAGCATTATGGATGGTCCCTTTTAGCTTTGGAGGGTTCCATAGTTTTTGCTCCAACATCAACTATGGCTTCTGATGACCGCACACTATTAGAACTACTGTGTGGACAGATACGGGTCAAACATTTTCATCATAATCAACTCATTCAAGCCTCTAACCAGATTCTTTTTTACCCTCCCTTCTCTAATACCCCACCTCTTGCATTTACCTCATCTTGCTGGTGCTAAACTGCTACTTAGTGCAATATTAATCAGCTATCTAGTGTTTTTGTAAGCTTGATGCTTCCTAGTCTTCATTACGCATAAGCTCTTGGACACTTAATAGTTTTTGTCTCTGATTTGTGATTTCATTTTTTCTTTCTTTAATGTCTTTCATTCAATAACTTAAGGTACGTTCTAAAATACAGAACCATGGGAAACTCTACCCAAACAGTGCAACTCTTAAGATTTTCGGTTGATCTGCCATGGCAATTTGTCTTGTGTTTGCTGATTCCACATGTCCATGCTGCCTTAAATTATTGTATTATGAATTGCTGGTTTCTGTCAAGTTATCTGTTTGTCTCCCCGTCTTACCCTTACCCCCTGCTCCTCTTCCATGGTGTCATTCCCTTTATCTCCACTTCTTCATCCCAGGTCTACTCTGTTAGGGGCGAGGTGCTGTTTAACCATATTATACACTGAAAAATAAAAATAAAAACAATTTGCTTTTTAGTTGCTGTTTTGCATGCTTGCTAGCGAGTAAATAATAATTATGGTGTCTTAAGAGTGCAGGCATCACTAGCAGGGCTTGCAGTTCATAAGTCTCTTGCTTGTCGCTCCATTTCTCAACTGCACTCTGCATCAGGCTGGAGTTCATGGCACTGTAATTGTGATCCATCTATGTTTAGTCTATGTATGTCAAGGTACCTTAATTGCAGGTTATTAATTCAGAAGCTGCTCTTGGTGATATATTGTGGCAAACAAGCCAGCAATTGCACGACTTACACTGTATTTTGCAGCTAACCACCGTTGGCTTGGCCTTTGTAATTCTGTATCAGTTTCATCGTGCATCCTCTAGAAGCCAGTTATCAATCAAATATTCTTTTGTGCTTTATTTCCTTTTACTTTCTTCGTTTTTTAACTGAATGTACTCCCTTTTTTTTTTTTTTTTTTCTAAATAGAGAAGCAAACATGCTAAGATACTTTGTTAATGTATAAACAAGACCTCTGAAGACAAGGATTCTTGAGCATGTTGAGAATATTAAAGCTGACTAAAATTGTATCAAAAGTATGAGATATTTTTCAAAGATATACTAAATCACCCCCTTAGCCTTGAGATTGGCCTCCAATGTCTTTATCTGCTCCTGCATCATTGCCATTTGCTGCTTCAGAACCTCTAACCCTGAAATACCATCACTGGCTGGCGCCAAATCAATCTCCGGCTCAGGCTCAGGCTCAGGCTCAGAAACAGAGTCCCTCCAGCTAACTTCATAGTCAACTTCTTCGTAAACAGTATCCGTATCATTCGCCATCTAAAATTCCACAATACAATAGTCACCTTTAAGCAATAATATCTTTTTTTTTTTTTTTTTTTTGAAGGGATATCTTTTATTTATTAATTAATTAAGGAATGCAGCATTTCTCCTTCAAAAAAAATAATAATAATCAATAATATAAGGTTCATATCCTCACTCGTGTTAATTAAGTGCATTTTCCAACAGTATATATATGTTCGCTAGTTATTCTGCCCTCGCCATCCAAATTACTTGTATGTCTAAACAGCACCTAAACACCAACTATACCACTACTACTCTTTTGCTACTCCAAAAATTACAAGGGAATTTAGCCCTTTGGCTAAATGGTTAAGGTTAAATGTAGTAAAGGATTTTATTGAACAAGGTCATCAGAAATTCTTGTCTGGACTTGGTCCACAATAATTTTATGATGCTAGAAGATTTCGTGTTCCTGCTACACAAATAACTTTAACTTAAGATGCTAGTTTGCTTCTCTGACAAATATAGTTATGATGGCCTAAAAGAAAAGAAAAGAAAGTTGTATTGGTGAGTTGCATGGAAAATTTTCCTGACCAAGCTCTATTTAGAAAATATACTCCATTGTAGACGCTTGGCAAAACTATTTACCAAACTAAGTTTCCAGGGTAAAACGCCATCTAGGGTAGCGTTTACCCTTGGCCAATTTTTTTAAAAAAATTTCAGTTAGGGCAAAAACGCCACCCCGGTCGGCGTTTATACCTTGACTGAAATTTTAAAAAAATTTGGCCAAGGTTAAAACGCCAGGTAGGCGTTTTACTGTTGGAAGCGCCAACCTGGTTGGCGTTTTTGCATCGGGTATAGGGTTCTATTTTTTTCATTGTTCTTCAAAAAAACAAAAAACCCCCAATTCTCAAACCCTAACCCGCGCACAGTACCTCGCCCAATCCTCCATATTTGCAACAAATTCATCACTTCCCATTGCTTAGATCTTCATCATACTCACTAAAGATTATTCCTCCTTCTTTCTGTAACACTTTTACGCAGTGAATTTACTGTGTTTGAGGTATTTATTCAATTTAACTATGTTACTTGTTTTTGATGTTTTTTGGGAATTTATGTTTGTAATTTACAATTTATGTACTATATTGTTGTTCAAGTATGCGAAATAAGTATAACTACATAATACATTGTTGTTTAATTATTGAAATTAAGTATATTTATATGTATGTTGTTTAATTTCAAATTAAGTATATGAAGCATACATTGTTGTTCAAGTATGTAGTGTTTTTTTTTTTTGTTAAATATGTATATTTATTGTGTAATTATGTAATTTAAGTATATTTACAAACTACATTGTTGAATTAGGTACATTTAAGTATGTACTACATTGTTGATTAATTAGGTAAATAAGTACATTAATATTGTTGAACACTACTTTGTATATACACTTAGCTTGAGGGTTTAATGGAATTATTGTGGTTTTAGTTGTGTTGTGTATTTGTGTCATCTAATATGCGTTCCGATTCTTATGTAGAACATGGCTTCACAATTGATTGTTTTGTTATGCCGGTGGGGGGGGTGAAATTATGTGTGTCGGATCAAACGTCGAGTATAGAGGAGGATAAATAGAACCATTGGCATTGAAACCTTGTATGACTTACAATGATTTGTTGAACAAGGTTTATACTGTAACTGGTTCAAACCCAAAGAATGTTGAACTGAACATTAAAATGAGGTTTGAGAGTGTCAGTGGGGTTCAAATCTTACCTGTTTTGAATGGTGACCATTTGGAGGTTCTGATGGGTGTCGTTGCAATGAGGTGTCTTCCCACTAATTTATATGTGGAAATGGTGCAAATATATACTCAACAGACTATTCGATTGATAAAACAACAACCTACATATCTTCCCTCATACCATACAAGCTCGTTATAAATTCCCTCATACAACATTCCATCATCTGAATATGGAATGGGATTGTTCAGTAGAATGTTACACGACGATCAATTTAACAATCCATTCAGTTCACATATTACACCTGTACATGAAGGGGTGTCGGTGTCAATGTTGTAGCAACCTGGTCCATCTACCTCAAACAATGACATTTCATCACCGATGCAGTTGCATACTTACTCTCCTATGCAAGAACATGTTCAAGCAACACCATCTCAAACTTTGGTGACTGCTGAAACTGTTGTAAACAACAAATTGTCTGTTCTTGATATGTATGAGGATACAAATGACGAGGGTGAGGGCGGAGATGAGGAAGATGGTATAAACAACGAAATTTCTGTTGATGATGTTGTGGCTAGAACTCCCTTGCCTTGGTTCACTCAAATAAACGAGAACTATGAGGTGGACATGTATTGGGCTGATCTGGGTAACCAGACTTCGTTTGTTGCAGGGGGAGAATTTGAGAAGGGTATGATTTTCGACAGTAAGAAAGTGCTTCAAGAAATGGTGAAAATGTATTTCTAACAACAGAATCAATTCTACACCACGGTGACATTGAATGAGAATGTCCTTCATCTTAAATGCAAGAGGAAGTGTGGTTGGTCGATATGTGGTACAAAAACAAATCTGCCGATCATGTCCCTTGTTGAGTTAACTTACCATAGAGTTAACAAATATTTTAATATAAGAAGGGATAGTTCACATGCTAGGTGTGCCGACGGATATGCATACCCACTAAGGTCACTTCCATTTTGGAGATGAATAACGGAAAAGCAAAATACCATAAAGTGGATGTTTATGACCGTCAGCTTGGTATATACCAAGTAAAAACACACCTAGGAGAGAGGATAGGCAGAAAAGGAAACCATAAGCATACCGTCAATTTCAATTTGAGAACATGTACATGCAACAAACCTATGATATTTCACCTACCGTGTTCTCATTTTCTAGCCGTATGTCTTAAGTATTTAGTTTCTGAGGAACCATGGGTGGACAGTTTCCTACGATCGGAGGCGTATGCGAATACTTATGTCCCAAAGTTCTAGACTATTCCTTGTGAAACGACGTGGAGGACATACAGAGGGCCTAAAATCATTCTTGATGAGAGCATGGTCCGAGGACTTGGTTGGCCAAAGTCAAAGCGCATACGAAATGAAATGGATGAGACTAACCGTCCACCAATCAAATGCGGCCGTTGTCGTCAAGACGGACACAATAAGAGAACTTGTCCGTTACGAATGGGCGGTGACGGGTATATGTAGTCTTAGTTTAATGACATGTTGTGTGTGTGTTTTCACTTATGATGTTGCTGATTTCTTGTTTTACATTGTGTAATGAACAGAGATCATGGAGTGACACGTTCGAGGATCGAGACCAGCTGACCCTTCTATCCTGACACTTCAGGATAGCCATCGGAGCCGTGACATATGGGAGCAGTCAATAATTTTTAATCTACCAAATCTTTAATGTTTTTGGCATTTTTTATGTTAATTTATCTATGTAATTTTTTTTGTTCTACAGGTTGATCCAGCACGGTGCTTGCTTTGCAGGCACCATGTTGGCAGGGTGGTGGAAGACCGGGTTGTCGGCCCGCGTGTACTGTGTTACATTGATTACATGGGTTTTGGCGGATTTCATAAGATGGCATTCACACCTATAGATCGAGCGCTAATCACTGCGCTCGTTGAGAGATGGAGACAGGAGACTCACTCCTTCCATCTACCAGTTGGGGAGGCCACCGTCACGCTCCGAGATGTGGCGATACTGACACGACTCCCAATACGGGGTAGGGCAGTGACAAGGCCCATTATAGAGGACCCTCGTGGCCTTGTTGAGAGGGTGTTAGGGGTGAGGCCTGAGGTCGTCGATATTAGAGGCACAGGGCTGACACATATGGTTACGAGAGACATTTGGGGTGTTGCCTCCTAATGCTGATGATGGAGTCGTTCAGAGATACGCTCGAGCATACCTATTCATGTTGATAGGATCGTTATTTAGTAACAAGAGTGGTAGTCACATACAGTTGATCTACCTTACAGCTGTTAAAGAACAGCTGGGAGCGGATACGTGAGTACAGCTGGGGTAGTGCGTGTCTGGCGACCTTGTATCGCCATCTATGCGGAGCATCCCAGCAAGGTAGATGGGAGATCGGTGGTCCCTTGATTGTGCTTCAGGTAGTCCCTTTAATTTTGTACTTTTTTTTAACTATTACATACTTAACGATGACTAAACTTAACTTAAGTTTTTTATTACAGTTATGGGTTTGGGAGCACATCCACGTTGGTAGGTTAGCTAGGGCTGCTAACTATCAACAGCAGGGTGGCCATGAGGAGGAGGACGATCGGGAGCATGCATATGAGGCTCCGCCACTCCCTTCACCAGATAGGCATACAATTGCAGGTATGTATGACTTACTGCTAAGTTATCCACATACCGCTTTATTTTGCTAATAGTTTTTCATAATACTGTTATCATATATAATTAGGTGGTTGGTGCAGAGACTTACTCGTGTGCATGCAGCGATGAGTCTACCGTATTATAGAGACGCATTCGATAGACTGAGTGAGTCTCAGTTGATTAATTACACTATAAAAACTAATTTAACACCCCGTTCATTGTTTCAATAAGTTTATTATGATGTTACTGACGGCATGTTAATGCAGATGACGTGGGATCCGTACGTCGCTAACTTAGTCGATGCCATGCCCCCATATCTTTGTGATCATCAGATGGAGTGGCGTGCCATGACAGTCCTCATCTGTTTTGAGGTAGTGGAGGCTCACATCCCCGATAGAGTCATGCGACAGTTTGGCCTTCGTCAGGCCGTCCCCGCCACATGTGACATGAGTGTCCATTGCACAGGACAGACCGACGAGGAAAGGGGGACGTGA